ATTGCATTTAAACTGATGCACTGATTATGAATGACCTCAACCACCTCATAAGTTACGATGTGTATTTTGTATCTATGCATCTTATGCTAAGGGCAAGTTTACTATAATTCTTCAGAGTGCTAGTGTTTTTTAAATGTTTCCCCTGTATCCATGAAAACGGAGGTATAGTGGTGTACTTGTGCAAATACTTGCAGGATGGGGAAGCCGCTTAGCAGGCCAGACTGTCTACGTCAGAATCCTCCATGTGTTGGCAAAGGGGAAGAAGATGAAGATCTAAATATTGAGGACTGCTACGTTCCCCAGAGATCCATCTATGACACTGTGCGACTGAATGAACAGATCGATTCGGGCTCCAAGGGTAGCCTCTCCTCGAGGCATTTCACAGACCGGACCTTACCCTACAGTCACAGAACACTGGACATCAGCACCTTGTGCTCCAATGGTGCCCTTTCTTCTTCCAGTGTTTTTGAGCTCCGAAGCCGTGAAGCTAACAAGTTAGATGAAAAAATGATTTTTGATGCTCTCAAACTGAACAGTGATATAATTCGGACAGCTGGATTACCCAAAGCAAAGTCTCACACAGAAAAGAAGGAGCACAGGCGATCGTGGAGAATGTTTGTTCCGCCCAACTTTTCAGATTACACGAATAAAAGCGAATGCTCCTTTAATGAAACTGCTGATATGTCAGATACAGCTACATCAGGCAAATGCAAATGGGGTACGAATTCTCTTACCTCGGAAGAGGATGATTCTGGTTTATGCAGCCCTCCAGCAGAAAGGGAAGAAAAACAAGATACACTGTTATCAGGGGAGCAAGCTCAAATACAAAGTTTATCTTCTGCAGAAGATATCCATGCAGTAGGTCAGTTCAGACCGTATTTCCCAGCAATTTGCAGAGACCAGCAAACCCCACTGCTCGCAAGCAGTAGTATCCCCGTTAAAGAAAGCTGCAGATTGCCTTTGCATGACATTTTACCTTCTGGAAAAGTAAAACAAAGCAGTGCACAGACATGTGAGAGCGATCAGGAAGAGATAGAGGGGAAATACTCTCACTTAGAAGGTTTCAAAGAGAAAACTCTGTTGCATGAAGATCCTCTTCCAAGTGATGAAAGAAGTAGTTCCCTTGACAAAAATGAAGTGGAAAGTGCATATGAAGTTCATGAAAAAATTAAAACACGAGTCACAAGAGTAAAGGAGGATTATGTGGATGATGCACCTCCCTATGTAGATGTTTATTATGCAAATGTTACTGTGAATACTAGTGACTTGGATTTAGCAAAATACGAGATTTTATCTGATACAGAGGAATCCGGTATTGCACATACAGGCTCAAATGAAATGGCATTTTCTGTCCAACAGCTTGAATTAGCTACTACTGTAAACTGTTCAAAAGCTATTCCAGGGAGAAGTAAAGGTAATATCTGGACTACTGGCATCCAAGAAACCTTGGATACAGTCTGCAATGGCCTGTTGTCTAACAAGGTAATTAAAAAAACCCCACTCTATAGATTTGTGAAACAGTTGTAATGCAGCCTTAAAGATATTTGTTTAAAGCTTTCTCCAAGTTTTGTTGTCGTCGCAAAAATGTCATTTCTTATTAATGTGGAAGATGCAGTAAGCAGTGTCATTTGCATAGCGCACACACAACATCCAGAATAGGTGAGACAGTTCAGAAAATGAACTGGGGCAAATTCTGAGAGCGATGATTACATCCAGCTGCGTGGGGCAGGGTTATTTATTGCCCAGCTGGTGCCTTTTCCTCCCGACATGGAGTGCCTCCTCCCTGCACCCATGTTGGTGCTGGGTGTTTGTACAGAGTGTGGTTACAGGCAATGCCATTCAAGGGCAGCTACAGCCCATGAGTTCTGCCCGAGCAGCCTTACTCATCAAGGTATAACCAACAGTATCAGATCCTTGTGGTTTCCACAGCAGGCAGATTAAAGGCTCACTGCCTCTTCTGAGAGCTGCCTTTTGCGTTTGCATGCCAGAAAGCAGATCTGACGTTACGGGAGTATTTTACAAGCGCAGGATCTTGCAGCACTTTGTGAGTGGTGGATGAGGTAAGAGAGTAAGAAGTGAAGCTTTGTAATAAGGAGAGGGTGTTTGTCAGGTCTGTAATTTTTTTCTTCCCACTCTGGTTGAAATCTGAGATACTTCAGGCTTTGTTGCTAAGTTATTCTGGTAAACTTTAGCCTCAGCAATAATTGTAATTTATTTTAAGCTTTTCTCTGCAAAGAATGCATGCATTTTTAAAGGGCAGATTATGGAGATCGGTCCTCTCTGCGGTAGGACGTTGCTCTCAAAAGATGAGGCTTTATGGCACATAAAAGAAGAATTTGTTATCGATTCTGTGTGGAAATGTTATTCTGCCTCCTCCCTACCCTACAGTCAAGAAAAACAGAAGCATTTTCCTTTTTCTGGAAGCAGCCAGCTGGTTGCACTCTCAGTTTGCATGTAACCAGAGTTTTCAGGGGTTTTTTTGTCTGAAGGAACAAAATTGTTAAGGGTGGATAATTTATTTTACCCCTCGTGTTTAGTGTAGTTGTTCTAGCTTCTAGATTGACTTGTCAAGCTGTTGGAAGCGTGCTCAGCCACCTGAGGTCTGCTGCCTTAAAAGCAATCACTTGCCACACTGTGTTTGGTGCAAAAGAGGAGAGTCACTGGTATGTTCAAAGTGATCCCTGCTTTTCAGGGTGCTGAGAAAGGTTGCATTGAATGCACTAAGTGTACACCAAAACTGTTACTGAATGCTGCTATAGAAATAGAAGGATTTAGGGTCAAAAGTTGAGCATTCTTTAGCATTGTTTATTCATTGGTTATTTTTCACTGGCCTGTGTAATTAATTCAGGGGCTTCGGGCCATTTTCTGATCTCATTGACACTGGTGTCAGTACAGCCTGATGCAGCTGAATACAAATAGAGATTTACATTGCTGTTGCTAGTGGTAATAATCTGGCTCTGAAAAAGTTTAAGTACTTGAAAGAGTAAAATAAAGCAAACAGAAAACATCCCAAACTGCTGTTTGGGTACAGTCAAAGTGCTGGTAATTTGCAAGAATACCCTTCTGAATGAAAACCCATTCTCCTGTGTGTCTGCTGGGATACTGTTTCAGCAGCATCTGTAGTGCCTCCTCCTCACTTTTTACTGTTATATTTTTCTAAAAACTACCTTAAAATATCTCTTCCTTCACTGCTTCTTTTAACTTAAACTTTTGATTTTTTTCCTAATTTGGAAAAAAATGCCCAGTTGTCTCTCTTACTGTGTGTGTGTTTATTTATTTGAGGACAACTTAACAATCCTTCTGTGCAATTTTTTGTTAGATTTTGTAGCTAGATAATTAGATGAGTTTCTCTGGTCTTGATTTTTTTCCTCTATTGGGTGGTGTCCGTCCCCTGCCCCCGACAAAACACCAACCTTTCCCCTTATCTCTCTTTCCCCTTTCCCTTTCCTTGTCTAAAACTACTCATGGAAATATACATCATTTTCCCTCTGTGGTGTATTGCATTTACTCTGTTTAGATTTAGTCTATTCTGTTTAGATTTATTAGCTTTTTTAGGAAGGTGCTGATGAGGAATGGCTTCCTTTCTTCTAGACACCAATGTTCAGCAGTTCTTTTGTTGCGTGCTGTGATGTAAATGCCAGATGCATTTTATGTCATGAGATAACAATGTTTCATGTGTGTCTTGGGTTTCAACTGCAGGTATTCCAGAAAGAAGAAATTGAACCCCTGCAAGTAAAACAACAGGAGGTAAATTGGTTGGGTCAAGGCCTTATTCAGAGTGCTGCTAAAAGTACCAACACAGAAAACCTTGAACATGACCTCGAAGATGTCAACACCCGATGGAAGACTCTTAATAAGAAGGTTACTATTTTTTATACTGTTCTGCTTTTTGATTATTTGGTTGCTGATATCTTTCAAAATACAGGAAATTAAATATTCACTAAGAATATGAATTATATTACTTTACACTATCACATCTTTGGTAATTCTGAGGATAAGATTTATATCACTAGTAACCAGAGGTATTACTATTATTCATAAGGTTTTGTCAAACTTTCCATAGGTCTGTCCTGGATTTTTATTCAGGAGACTCCTCCAGGACTTTGTGTTCCTTCCTGCTTAAGCAGTGCAGGGAAGTTTGATAACTCAGTGAAGGAGGTTGGAGTTGTCACACATTCGTGGGAAATGTAGCTGTGTTGTTTGTAGCCAGCCACTTTCAAGGAGTCTTTGTTCACACATTTTTTCACTCTGTTGTATGCATTCATGGGCACTGTTGTACCTCGGCAGGGCACACAGCAGTGATACAGCCCAGCTTTGTGTGACTAGTGGCACATTTCCTTTGTAGCACCTTAAGGATTGTATTGCTTGAGACATCAGAAGGTACCACTGCTTTGGAAAACTGGCTGTAGGTGTTCTTCTATGCTTTTGAAGAGTCCTCTTCCAGCAGTAGCTGTTGTTGGAAAATTGAAAGGGTAGGAAGTAGAAATGGCACTCATTTTTCTCCACTCTGTCTTCCTGAAGGAGTGATGCAGCAGAACCACACAGACACCTGTGGTTCACTTTCTCCTTTCCTATTTCTTCTTCCCTTTGAAGGGATTATTGCCCCTTCTTAAGAGTTACTACTTTGGGTTCCTGGCTTGGCCTTTCTGTAAGGAAAATAAAGACCATCTGAAACACAAACATCCTGTCAGTATACTTCATAATACTGTAGCTATATAAAATAGGAGTATCTCTTGTAAGGAACTACTGGAGCAGTCTGATTTACTGATAGTCAGCCTCTTTTCATTGCATGTCTGTAGCCCCAAGAGATTAATGCTAAATTGTGCCATAGTGCTGTTATGAATAGCCATGAAAATGAGAGTATTTGTTAAGTGATATTGCCAGATGTTCTACAGATTTTGGCTGCTTATTTCACAGAAATAAAAAGTGAGTACAGTCTGATCCTCCACTTTTTTTCAGGTTGCCCAGCGTGCTGCACAATTGCAGGAAGCCCTCCTTCACTGTGGGAGATTTCAGGATGCCCTTGAATCTCTGCTTAGCTGGCTTATTGATACAGAAGACCTTGTGGCTAATCAAAAACCACCATCTGCTGAATTCAAAGTTGTGAAGGCCCAAATACAAGAACAGAAAGTAAGTGAAATGTATTCAAAATGTCTCTCTTTGCATTGGATCAATGAGAACAAATTCCCAGTCTCTGGCAAATCATAAAATCTGTTCAAGTGTATTATATTACATTGAAGTGTGCTGAGGTGTTTAAAGCAGCCATCTGTCCAATACTCACGAATCTGTCCAGGGCTGGGAGACGTGCTCATCTTCTGGGACACAAGACAAAGAGGAACACTGTGTAGTGTGAGTTCTGATTAGAATTATTAACACTATCTGGAAAGGGTTGGTAAAAGTTCACTGGGAAGACAGAAAACATAAAATCCAGTGTTTGGCCATTTGCAAAATAGAAAATAAAAACCAGTAAATTTTCATTATAATAATTCCAAGATAATATTGCAGATTAAGGACGTAGATACTTGGCTCTTGATCCTGATTGTGATCTGATTGTTGTTGGTAATCGGTTGGAATGCTGCTTGGAAATGGCCTGTGCTAATGTAGAATTGCTGTCAGTGTTGCCAACTTTTGCAAATTTTCATAATGGTTATAGAAAAAAGAACCATGATGTTACTTATGAAACATACAGTCCATCCAGTTGGACTGTGTGGCCCACTGTCACCCAGAGATTTAATACAAAGTTAATGGCCGATGCAGGTTGTCACATTGGGATATCTGCAGGGGCAAAATGTTGATGTTGCCAAAGGTAACTAGAGAATGGAGGAAGGGAGGATCTAAGACAGAGGTGCTTTTTGTCCTTCACAGAGAAGTTACTTTACAGGACTAGATCAGTGAACTCAGTTGTATCTCAGACAAGTGATGAGTCAATTGTACAATAGTTTTTATCTCTATTTTCCTATCTCTCTCTATATATCAGAATTATCTTTGTGTTGGAAAATCTAGAAGGGAATGTTCCTGTAAAATGGATCAGATACTCTAAATAGCTTGTTTCCCTCAGTGGTATTAAATAGAACTTTTTCCTTTATATGTTCACTCTTTGGCCTGCCACACATCTTTACCCCATAGAAACCAAGGAGGCTGTTTGGGCTGGGTGAAACACCACTGTTCATAACAAAAAAAAATGAGAAACTAAAATGAGCAAGTGTTGGGGGTGGGGGAGTCAGCTTGGTGTGTGATGTGTGTGCGTGTCTCTTTTTGATTAGCATTATTCAAACTTTCATCACAATATAGGCACTGCCTTTGCTTTTTTTTTTTTTCTTTAACAGGTTTTATCATAGAATCATAGAATGGTTTGGGTTGGAAGGGACCTTAAAGATTATTCCAACCCCCCTGCCATGAGCAGGGACACCTTCCACTAGACCAGGTTGCTCAAAGCCTCATCCAACCTGGCTTTGAAAACTTCCAGGGACGGGGATCCACAACTTCTCTGGGCAACCTGTTCCAGTGTCTCACCTCTCTCACAGTAATATCTCATCTGAACCAACCCTCTTCCAGTTTAAAGCCATCACTCCTCGTCCTATCACTACCTGCCCTTGTAAAAAGTCCCTCCCCAGCCTTCCTGTAGGCCCTTTTCAGATACTGGAAGGTCACTATAAGGTCTCCCTGGAGCCTTCTCTTCTTCTGGCTGAACAGCCCCAACTCTCTCAGCCTGTCCTCATAGGAGAGGTGCTCCAGCCCTCAGATCATCCTCGTTGCCCTCTTAGGGACTTGTTCTAACAGGCTCATGTCTTTTTTGTAGACTTTTCAAGAAGTCTACCTCCTTCTATTTTTACACTTGTGTTATTACAAAGTTTCTTAATAACCTGGTGCCTGATTGCTTTTTCTGTAGCTTCTCCAGAGGTTGCTGGATGACCGCAAGCCTACTGTTGAGGCAATCAAGCGTGAAGGGGAAAAAATTGCAGAGTCAGCAGAACCTGCTGATAGAGTGAAAATCTTGAAACAGTTGAGCTTCCTGGATAGTCGATGGGATGCATTGCTCAGTAAAGCTGAAACAAGGTATTTGAAATTCTTTCATAGATTTGAAAAATGTAGACATAGCATGTGGTAGATTATTAGAAGCAACATGTGGAACTCCGGAGTATGAAATTTTGTAAGTACTATTATTCTTGTCATTACATTATGTTACTGCATCTTAGGTCCTCTGAAGGAAAAGTGGAGAGAAGTTACCTGAACAGACCAAAAGCTTTTAAAAAAAGTTTAGCTTAAGACACTACAATCTGCTAGGCTTATCTGCATATGTATCTTCTGAATATTTTATCCATGTTAGTTCATTAGGATGCAAGTTTCTTGATGCAAAATCTCTTTTGCATAGAATCAAGTGCAAATTTTACACTTAACAAATAATAAGGATGTTCCCTTGGAACTTCAAAATCCCGACATGCTACTATAAAGAGGGAGCACTCAACTCTTCTTCCCTTTTACTGTGTGATGTCATCTGTATAATTAGAGCTACTCATACTGTCAGTTGCTGATGTGCTTACGCAAAGGTGCTGAGCTGCGTTACTTCTCAAGAAGAAAAAGGACCATCAAAGTATGTAGATATATTTGAGCGACACAGAAAAGTCTCTTAAAGATATTGCCATCCAATTAAAGTTCCAATTTAAAAAAACCAAACAAAACCAAACCCCATGCACGCAGTGTGTGTGTACACACATACTTAGATTAATGAGTTGTCGATGTGTAAAATACCTGGAAAGTTATGAACTGTAAAGTGTCTTTGAAGAAATACGTGTTGAAAGGGTTGCTGAACATGTTTTCTGGGTGGGGATTGGAAAAAGGACAGCCTTGTTCAGTGGAGAGAGAAGAAGAGTGTGCATAAGAGGTGGCCTGAAAAAGGCATATAGTTGAGAACAACTGGAAAGTTGAAGAAAAGGGATTTAAGTGAACAGTGAAGCTTTACAGTGAAGAACAAATGGATGCGTTGGGATTTGTGCACTTGGAATAGCATTAAACTCACCTCTGTTGTCTGGTACTTCTGGTAGCCTCTCTTTAGGTCCTTTACTGTGAACCTCTGATGTTACCTCATACTAATAACATGATTATTTAATTAGTAGAGTCAACCACTAATAGACCATTATTTCCTTCTTTCTTTTAATTGAAAGAATCTGACTTATTAGCTGTGGTAAATGTTAATGTCATGTTTAATTTAATATTATTCTCCCAGTCTGTTGATATTTAATGAAAAAACAAATTGCAACTTTTTCCAAGCCATCCATTAGCCACAAGCTCGTCTCCATTTTTCTTTGGATGTTCTCTAGAAATGAAGATGAGATTTGATGATGATTTTGAAAACTATGTAGAGTACTACACTGAGTGTTCTGTGGCTAAGTGTGTCAAGTTTACCTTATTTACAAGCCTTTGGAAGCACATATAAATAGAGCTTTTATCTGAAATGAGATCCTTATTTGAAAGACTATATTTTGATGTTTTTCTTGTAGGGCAGATCTCTCTTAAAAGTCTGCTTGAATGAAATTTGTTAAGCAGTGGTTGAGTCTTCTCTAGAAGACTCTTCCTGTCATCAAGAGCCTTCTCTGAAGTGCAATAACCTGAAACAGAAATGTTTTAAATACTGCTTTTTTTATTTTGAAGGTCAAGTCTCTATGCTTTATTAACGTTGTCTCACCACCTTAATTGAGAGCTTTTATCCAGAACAAAAGAGGCAAAAGTAGAGCCAAATACTTCTGTTCACATCATTGAACAAATGTTTAAAGATATTTTACAACGCTGAGGAAGCATGACAATATGTTCTGGTTCAGTAAAGTCTTTACCTAACTTTAAAACATGTATAATACAAAGGGTTGTAACTTTATACTTAAAGACAGCTAGAAACTTGAGAACTATCCTAATTGGGTATAAAACAATGTTTTTCTGAATTCAGTGCTAGATTATTTTTAGCAAAAAAAATGTGAATAAAGTGATATTCTTTGTATTTACAAAACTTGCATAGTAGCTAAAAGTTTCAAACAGCTTCGGAGCTTTTGTTTTTAAAATTCTATTTGATTTTTACTTTACCATGGTTTTAATTGAATATCATGGATATATTTATTTCTATTTCATTTGGTGACTGGTTCTTACAATAAGGCAGAATTTATTTTTTTTTGCAAAGCATTCAAGGGGCTTTTTAAAAAAAAAAACCTATTTCACACTTACTTCATCACAAAAAATAACCTTTCTCTTGGCATGTTGGTAGGAACCGTCAGTTGGAAGGCATCTCAGTGGTAGCCCAGCAGTTCCACGAAGCTCTGGAGCCGCTGGGGGAAACGCCACAGAGAAGAGGCTTGCAAATGCAGAACCCATTGGAACGCAGGCCTCTAAACTGCAACAGCAAATTTCTCAGCATAAAGTAAGATACAAACCACATACTTGCTTGTGTCATTCTTCAGACACTTCTGTAAAGTACAATGCAACTGGCAAAGCTGTTGCGGTGTACCTATGTTTTACCATACTGAATTTTTTTTCTGTAATTTGAGTTTTATATATTTATGTTGGCAATATGTCCTTTTTCGTTCAGTTTTTATTGAGTTCCACTCACATTTCTTTTATGTTTTTCTGATTTTCTTTTCCATTATTCTTCGTTATTTAAAAAAATATAGGCCCTAGAAGATGATGTCCTAGCTCACAGTAGGAGTTTACATCAGGCCATTAGCACTGGTCAGTCTCTAAAGACTCTGAGCTCCAGGGAAGATAAAGATATGGTGCAGGAAAAGCTAGATTCTTCTCAGGCCCGATACATTGAGATTCAAGAGAAGAGCAACAGCAGGTCTGAACTTCTCCAGCAAGCTTACAGCAATGCTCAGATTTTTGGGGAGGACGAAGTTGAATTGATGAACTGGCTGAATGAAATCCATGATAAACTGAGCAAATTGTCAGTCCAGGATTGCAGCACAGAATTGCTTGAGAAACAGCACTCTGAACTACTGGTATTTTGATTTCTGTTCATTTATTATTTAATTCATTTTAAAATTTTATTTATGTTTCCATACTTCATTTATTTTTCATTAATATATTTTGTTTAAAATGGAAATACATGTATTCCAAATAAAAACAATATAATTTGTTATGTCTGTGCTAACGCAAAGGACCTTTTCTCTTAGGATCTTCAGGAAGAGATTCTTCTTAGAAAACAAAATGTTGATTTGGCCATACAAAATGGCTTAGAGCTTCTCAAGCAAACAACAGGTGAGAGCTTATGTAAAACTATGATTCATCAGGCTTTTTTTCTTGTACTTGTAAGTGCTTATGAGAAAATTAAAGTGCAACTTGCTGGTTAAACCAATCCTAGTTGTTTATTTTAATAAAGATTTGAGGTTAAGGTAGGTTATGTTTTTGGGCCAATTTTGCTATTAATGTAAGTGAGCAAAAGACCTTTTTTGCCTATATGGAACTCATCCCTTGAATCCTTTATTATTTTTAGTGGAAAATTATTTTAGTGAACCTGCATTCCATTCCTAATAGCAAGTTATGGACATTATTCATAATGGAGGGCTGTTTGGCAGTGGACGCAGTCAATTCCCTGCAGGCAGCCACAGATGAACGAGATATTAGACTACCTTTTACTGCAAGAGGAAAGCTTTGTCCATTGGAGCTAATGCTGTGGGAAAACTTGCATTCCAGTTGTACACGATGTGTCTGTTCTGTAGATCAACATCTGTCCAGATTTTCCAGTACTTCTAAAGTTCTTGAACTCTTTAAAGACACACATATGGTTAGGGGCGGGTGGGTATCCTTTTCTGTTCCAAAGTTAGACACTATGCATAGTCTATAATGAAATCTGGATATATGCTAATAAATTTCAGTGGCTTGTTTTTATTTCAGCTTTTTGAGTTGTGTTTCAAATAGATAGTAATGAGGGTGTGCAGTGATGTCAAATATTACTTTTATTGGGGATCTAATTAGTATTTTGTTGATTTTTTTTTTCCTTCACATTTTCAATAACCCTTTAATAATCTTTTTGTTTTGGCCTTTATAAGAAGTATTGTAATTTTAAGAATAAATATTTTTAAAGAACTTTTGTGTTAAATATTTTATCTAAATCTTCACTTTCTAATAGTTTAGTAAAACAGAAAAAGACAGAAGGACAGATCCTGAGCTGAGGTAAACTTTGTAGCTCTGTGGACTTCAGTGATGATAGGATAATTTGCAACAGTTGAGAATTGAACTTGTAATCTTGTTTGGGTTATTTTATGAATTAAATATTGAGATTTCTGTAATAGGTGGGGTTTGGGATTTGTTTGTGGGTTGGTTTTTTTGTTTGTTTTTTGTTTTGTTTTTCTTTTAAATATTTGTGGTTACAGGAAATAACATCTCTCTGATATTTTAGGTGATGAAGTTGTAATAATTCAAGATAAACTGGAAGGCATTAAAGCGAGATACAAAGACATTACACAACTGAGTTCTGATGTATCCAAGACCTTAGAGCAGGCTCTGCAGCTTGCAGGTCAACTGCACTCAACTCATGAGGAACTCTGCAAATGGCTTGATGAAGTGGAGGTGGAGTTACTCTCATATGAAACTCAAATACCAAAGGGTGAAGAATTAAGCCAAGTACAAGAAAGACAAAAAGTAGGTTTAAGAACCCGTGAATTATTTATTGCTGTATGATTCAGCTAGGTTTTGTGTTAACTTATATTTGGCATGATGTTGTTTTGTGAATAACTAATTTTGGCATCAGATCTTTTGACTAAATGTAACAGTAGTTAAGAACCAAACTTGCTTTCCAGAGTCATCTGTTATAATCACTTGTGAAATTGGGCTGAGGTTTATTTTTAGCTCAAGAGAAGCACAGCATTTCCTTTTTATTCAAGCAGCTACCTAATCCTGGGAAAACTCTTAAGTTGTCAAACAAAGTTATTTTGGTTCTTTAGTTGTAACATGGATAAAATCCTGTAAAGTATAAAAAGAATCAGCATTTAAAATACATATTACTAATCTTATTTAACAATATGTATTTCAAAAGAAAAATTGTAGTATAAACTGGATGGTGTGGACAGTGTTGAGGGGGGAAGCTATAAAAAAAAAGTCTTTCAATTAAATTTCTTATAGATATAAAAAGAAATGAAACAGTGGTGAGGGTTTCTCAGGTTAAAATTCGTTACTGAAGCACTGTGTGATGATTTGATTGGAATTTAATCCAGTCATTGCTTATTTAAGAAATCACTTCATCATATTTTGCTTTACTGCATGTCTGATTTCACTGGCTGGTGATTTAGTTCCTTATGGAGTTGCAGGTTGCAAAGAATATCTGTTAGTTTTATTTTCTTCGGTTGCTTTGTTAAGTACTGACAACTTACAAAATTACAAAGGATTTCAGACTGTCTTACTGATTGGAGAAATATATTTAAGATATATTCTGTACAAAGTTATCTTCAAGAATCACCCACTTTTCTGTCAAACAGCTTACAGTATCAAAAAGCTAATACAACTGAGTTCAAAATAAGTGTGCCAATTTATCTCTGTGGTTTGTGTGGAAAACATTTCAGTTCTCAGCTCACGGAGTAGTTGAAAGAATAAAAAAACCACGTGCAAGCTGTGTGTGTTCAGCTTGTATGCTGGCATGTTTACTTTAAATGGCCTTTTTCAGGAGCTGAAAAAAGAAGCGAAGAACAACAAAGGCTTAGTGGACACTCTGAATGAAGTTGGCAGTGCCTTCCTGGAGCTGGTGCCATGGAGGGCCAGAGAAGGGCTTGACAAGATGATAACAGAGGACAATGAACGCTACAGATTAGTGAGTGACACAATCTCTCAGAAGGTGGATGAAATTGATGCTGCCATCCTGAGATCCCAGCAGGTACTGGAAACTGTTCTTTGGGCAATAGCAGACTCTGGCCATGTGTACCTGGACAGAAGATGTCCTATAATAATGTTGCCAAAAGTTTCTTGTGCTTGAGCAGGAAAAGGCCTGTTGGAATGAAATGGCACTCCACTGTTGAGATATGAATGCCAGAACTCAGCTAATCTGTACACTGTTGCAGCTGTCTCCCTTTTTGTTGACACAAACATCAGTCTTATAGGTAAAATTGCTGTAACTATCCTGTGGCACTTTAAGTGGGAATTAGCTTGATTAGGAGTTGAATGGCCCATGTCTTTTGTAGATCACATGTTAAGTAAAATACAGTCCAGATCTCCAGCCAATTTTACTGGATGCAACACTGTAATCACTAGGGTTGCCAAATGTTTTTGCATCAGCTGATTGTCTAGATCCTCTGTACTTTCCACAACTGAAAGTTGGATCATCTTGTTCAAGCTGTAGTGGAGGATTTAAATAACAATTGCTTTTATTCATATCCACAATGTTTTTCTTCTTGGAGCTCAAGATTGAGTTATTTAATACTGTACATGCACAGAGGTATATATATGGGTACACTCTGAGAACTGGCACTCTGATTTCATCACTAAATAGTCCCATGTTTAACCTTGCTTACAAATGGATTATGGAAACACAATCTTCCAATGTCTATCTACAATTCAGGCATAAAAATATTGGTGGAGATTTCTGTTTCCTGCTAATAGTTCCCTTAAACAGTTGTAACAGGACAAGGAGAAAGCATTTGTGGTATTTTCAAAGTCTGCTGAAAGCTGACTAAAAGAGGCTGGCAGTAACTCAAATCTCCTTGTACCTGAGGTTGAAAATAACTTCATGCTTCTTTTTAAGGGGATTGCTGTGTGTATTATCTTGTCTCATTAACCAAATCCTCAAAAATGAAGGGTGATTTTTTAGGGAGTGATAAGGTGAGATAGGAGACTGTATGTTGGCTTTCCTTCAGCTTTTCTGAATTCCATGAGTATGTTGCATACCCTAGCACAAATTCAGCAGATTCTGGTCCAGGCATGAAAGGTCCAGAGCTGCTGCTCCACTAGCCAATATGAAGGCATGTTGCACCCTAGTCCTGCACGCCCCTACCTCCACTTCAGCACAACTCACATCACCACAATGTACTCCTATACACTATGTCCTATGATAAATAGCAAGCAGCTTAACATGCTTCCAGTGAAGGATAAGCTACTTTCCATTTAGCTCAGAGAAGAGACCATGTGAAATAGTGCTCTGTAGGCTTACCCTATGGCAACTTGTTCAAGTGTCTGTATTATTAAAAATGTTTGGGTGGAGGACAAAGCCACGAAGAACATGAGAGGTCAGTGGGAGTAGTGTAGGGCCCATGCTTGGCATTACTGGGCCAAGGTGAGAACTGCAGTAAGTTATGTGGATGGGTAAGCATATTGTTTCATCTTGTGAGCGAAAGTTGAGAGGCTTAATAGACTAATGCAATGTCCTGATTTTTAACTACCTGGCCAAAATGACCCCAGATGGATAGAATTATCCTTTAAATAAATTTAGCTACATGTTTCAATCTTCATTTCTCAGTACTGGAGGCATAGTGAAGGAGTGCTACATAAAAAGAGAAGGCCATATTCTGCTTTTGGCTTACTTTTTGTTTTTCACTCTAAAGCAGCCATAGAGAGTGCTTTAGAAAGCATTCACGGAGCAAATCACAATGTCATCATATTCAGAAGTCAATCATTCCTGGTTAGAAGAAAAAGTACCACAATGAACTGTGCTTGGTTAAACTGGGTGGGGAAGAAATGGATGATTTTGTAGTGACTCAAGTGAAGTTCAGGGCTCATAAATAACGGCCATGCATAATGGGAAGAAAACACTTCAGATTTTGGATACAGAGAGTACCAATTTTGTGCATTTTATTCCTTAATGTTACATTTGAACATCACAAATTGGAAATCCTATACCCTCAGCAAATGGAGTTGATAGTCCTGTCCTTCCTCGATGCTGTGTGACCTAGAGGTTTCACTGCCATGCCTTGATTTTGTTATTTCCATTAAATATTTGCTCAATATTTTTTACATACCCCTGGATCTTTGTTATCAAGAAGTCACATTGCAGTTAATTTGTACATCTAACACATATGAAATCAACTTCTGAATTTCCTTCATTTGGATCATAAATAGTTGGGCTTCTGAAGAGCTTGGTTGTGAACTGCAGTTTTTAAAGCCAGGATTTAACTACCACTGGTGCATGTGCTTCGTGCTAATGTTTACAGTACTGATTGTTTCAGAACATACTTTTCTATTAGGAAGTCACAATACGTGGGCCAAGACTTACTTTCTGTTACTTTAAATGAGAAATGGCATATAATGAAAAAGAATGTTTGTGCTCTCTTTCATGTTACAAATGGATTATAAAGGCTGAAAAAGATTAACTCAGAAGGAATGAAATCTCAGAACTGCTTCTTTTGTTTTTGTGTGACTCATGATTAACCACTAAGACAAGACTGATTTAGTGGCTAAAGTGAACTCCAGCTACGTTACAGGAGCAGGGCTGCCATGGTCTACAGCCCCAGAGGCACAGACCAGTAGATTTAAAAGACAAGAGTGACTGAGAGTGGTCAGAAAGAGCCTTCTGAGGAAAGCATGGGTATCAACAACACAAGTAGCAGGTTCTGACCTAAAACATCCTGATAGACTTTTGCAATAACTCAGAGCCATATTAATGTTCAGTTAGTTGCAGTGGGGGTCAGAGTTTAAAATGAATAAATAAATAAAATAGTTCTTAGTAGTTTCTGCGATGACCATTTTGTGCATCTGATCATCTCATGTAGTATTTCTCTATGGCTTAAGCTCAAAGTTTCCTCCATTGAGTACTGCAAGGTGTGTGTGCTAAGATACATGCCTATAAACTTGAGCAGAAGAGAGAATGTATGATTTTTTTGAAATTTGGTCTTACTTTTCAGAAGAATTAGATCTCCACATGCTTCTTTTCAGGATCTCATGCTCTCCTTGGCAAATTAGTAAGAAACAGATCCTTTAAATCCTCTCATTAGTTTAGTGCTTTGAGGTAATTTCTGAAATGTGTAAGTGTTGACTAATGGTAGCCAAAAGTTAATCTTTTAGGAAAAGGACTGTCTGCACCCAAATGCCGTAGAGAATTTTCATGTTTAACCCAAGGTCTGGTTTTGGATGAAATCCTGTCTTCTCTGCATTCAGTGAAGTTCTTCCACTGACTTAGTTGAATTGTGATTGTTTTGCCTTCATAATTTAATACCAAAGCAGCTCTTAAGATTAAAAGGAGAGCATCAAACAACTATTTATTAGGATAATTGCAACACTAGCAGTAATAATAAACACAGAGATGGAAAATAAAGTAGAAAAAAATGAAAATAAGCAGTCTAGTTAAAATTCTGAAATCATAACCCTTTTTATTTTCTTATGTCTGTTAGAGAGCTGTAGGCTGTGGAAAAATGTATTTGTTTCTGTTGCCTTGTCACACTTATGAATTAGGCTGCTTGTATTACAATCCCTTAGAACCATTTTGGGCTTTGTATTTCATTTATATAAAAACCTCATATGGAAAGTGAACTGCTGTCTTTTTAACAATTCAAAGTATGTTTTTTAATCTTCTTTAACATTTTTGAAACAGTCATTCTAATTTCATGTCTATAGAACTGCGGAACTAATTCATGTCTCCCTCGTTTAGTTTGATCAAGCAGCTGATGCTGAATTTGCCTGGATTGCAGAAACAGAAAAGAAACTGATGTCTCTGGGTGATATTAGGCTTGAGCAAGACCAGACCACAGCTCAGCTACAAGTTCAAAAGGTAAAAGAAATGCATTTCCAACTGTCATGTTAATTATTGGCCGTCACACTCTCCATCTAGAAAATGCACTGGCATGATTTAATTTTCAGTCCATCATAATGCACTTCAAAAATAGTTTTGAAGTTTTTGCTCTTATTTTTTTTTTCCTGACCAATTTTTACTGTGTTTCAAGGCTTTCACCATGGAGATTTTGAGGCACAAAGATACTATAGATGAACTTGTTAAATCTGGGGATAAGATTATCAACACCTGCACTGAAGAAGAGCAACAGACCATGAAGGTAAAGCTCCTTAAATTGCAACTACAGTGGTAGATATGCAGACAATATATAAGTAGAAAGATTCCTATAGTGTCTTTTTAGAAATACTAATGAAAAAGAGTTAATTACAGCCAATTCTAGTCTGAGGATTGTAATACTAGAATAAATGCTGTTATGTATCACTCTCCTTCATCCAGGATGTTCAAAGAGCAAACACTGTGTACTTGCTTCGTTGCCTGACAGTAACTTGAGACCCCATTTATCATCTTCATCCATGGTAAACAGTGTTTTAGCAATGGACGATTCAGTGAATAGGTATTAGTCATCTGGGGTTGTGTGTGTGTGTGTGTGGAATCTGGCTGTTTGTCTTCCTCAGTTCTTCTGGGTCAGTGATGCTCTGGGCATGTGTATTTCCATGCAGGGTTCAATGGCTGTGCACCTCAGCATGAATCTTTACTTTCATTTCTGCTGCTTTCAGTGTAGACCTTACTAGCCAAGATTATTCCATCCTGTTGGCTAGCACAGCCCATGAAAGGCATTCTTGTGCCTTTGTTTATTACACACACACACAGAGAGCCTGGTGTTGGGGCTGTATATGTATCTATATACACAGACAGATTTTTCATGTTAGCATTTAAGAATGGGTTAGTTGTAGGGTTGGGGTTTTTTTGCTAAATTACGGTGAGGCTGGGTATGTTCTGTAAATTTAGTCCTTCTAATGACCATCCTCCTTCAACAACAGTACTTCACTAATTGTGCTCTGCTGCTGGATCTCTGAATAAATTTGATTTGTTCTTAAGTGAATTTAAAATAGATGAGATGTTCTGTATATGAAACTGTAGTCATAAGGGAGAGCAGTTTTATGTGAGTCTCTATTAAATATTTGTATTTGTCAGAAATGTGTTAGGCTATGTTTTGTCCTTTGGATAGCATCTCTATACTTAATTTATATGCAAGACATAACAAATGAAAGGATAGCTTGTTCTGCCAAAAAAGATTCTTTACTTCACATTAAATGGCTTGCTTGTATGTCTAGTTTTTCCAAGGCTAGCATTTATGTGCATGGTCACATATAATATTTCATAAAAATGATAACTTGGGCAGTCATCCACAGGAAAAATGTATAGGAGTTGATTGTTTCTTTTGTTATCACATACCCAAATACAGTAGATTTGTAATGTTTAAACTTTGTAGTTCTATCATTACTAATGGTAACACATCCTCATTAATTAATGTACGCTAACCTGGCAAATAATATTTTGTGGTTTCTGTTGCAAGTTTATAAGCTATAAGCACAATACCATACCCTATTCTCTTGACAGAAATAAAAAAACCCTCAGATTTTTGTTTATTGTTCCTGATGCTTTGATTCAGAAATGCTGTGGAAAACTTAGTTTCTGCCAAGTGTCACTGAGGATAAGAATTTTCAGTAAGGAAGTGGGGGCTAAGATCTGCAGTCAGATCATTTGCAGCTTGACTGGAAGCCCTATGAATAAAGTGTTATTTGTAAATATCAGTATCATGAAATATGTTCTAATTACTTTGGAAGTACTCTGCCAAATTCCTGTCTCCCACAATATTGATTTTGTCCACCTTAAATACTGATTCTGTAAAAACATTATCAAAACTATGATTTGGTTCACTGTAGTTCAGTGCTATAATTATCAAAGATTGTTTAGAAATGAAGGTAACAGACATGTAGGAAAAACATACATTGCTATTTTTTTAATATTATTTTTCAGAAAAAAATGGAAAGCCTCTTACAGAAATACGATGCAGTCTGTCAAATGAACTCTGAGAGAAACCTCCAGCTAGAACGGGCTCAGTCCCTGGTTAACCAGTTCTGGGAGACTTATGAAGAGCTTTGGCCATGGTTAACTGAAACAGAAATGATAATCTCTCAGCTTCCTGCACCAGCCCTTGAATATGAAACTTTAAAGCAACAACAAGAAGAGCATAGGGTAAGCATTTTGCCAGTTTTGAAAAACAAAGTGTTGAAAGCCAAGTAGGATTCTGCTTAGAACTGTGGATTACTCTGCTAAATGGTGAAAACCCAGACAGCTGAACTTGTGTTGAAAAAATAATTATTTAAAAATAATAATATAAAATAAATAAATTTTCAGTCGTGCCTCCGTTGTTTCCCAGGCTGTGCATGCAAGCAAGATTGGGGAAGACAGCAAACAATGTATAAGCATAAAAGAGAGCTAAAGGGGAAAAATCTGCCATTGTAGTGAGAGAATGGAGCAGATGAAAGTTAAGAACTATATTTAAAAGTACACATTAATGTCAGTATTAGAACAAACCAAACCCATGAACAGAAGACGTGGCACGTAGCAGGAAACAAAAGAAGATAAAGACTGTCTAAAGAACTGGAGTACCTGCTGTCAGTGTGCTCAAAGTGAAATGCTGTCTTTGTGTGCCTTTGTGTGCAGTCTGTATACAAATACACACATATGTTGATCTTATGTACGTGTAAAAAATATTACATGAGCTGGGAAGATGGACAATTAGAGGGCCAAGAATTGATCGTTTGAGTTCCAGCCAATCCCATAATCATTTCTCATGTCAAGTATGTTTGTTATGGAATAATTAGAAGAAATAGTTGTTTACCATAACATCACAAAACAGAGGTGACAGTGTTGTAGGCTGGCCACCATATGGGGTTTCTTACATGGAGGAATAATCAGCCGGGATAAAAATCAGTACATGTCATGTATGGCTATTTGTATCACATGGAATCAGATGTATCCCACTGAGGTTAAAAAGCTGCGTGTTTAGGCACATGCAAAGCCCATATGGCTACTGGAGATACCTGTCTCTCCCTACTGAGCATAGAGTAAGTAGGTTTTTCTTTCATTTTAGCTTCCTCAGTTAAGTTGCTCAAGTTAGATAGGATGAACCGTGGCTTTAAAGTCTTGTTTACTCTGAGACCAGTTAATGAAGATGTGCCACTCTTATGTACTGGTAAACACTGGTTTCACTCATTTGTCTTCCTATTATGTCCACAATGAACAAACATGCTCCATTAGGACTAGCTATATAACATGAGCTTTACAAACTATCTCGATTAGTCACCGTGAACCAAATCATGCTTGCTTTACTTACAGGATTTTTCCCCATCTACTGTAATCATTCTGCTTGCATGAGAGGCCCTTCAGATGAGCTTCTATTTTTGCATTTTCCCTGGGCTATGCTATTAGCTGCGATTTGTTTGTTAAGTAGAAGATTAATGTCAGGCAATTTTCACATGTAATCTGATCTGAAATACTTGTTTACTGGAATTGTTTATCCAATAGTAGATCATGGAGAAGACCAAATAATTTATTGTTCTACTAAAAAAAAAAAAAAAAAAAAAAGAAGAAATAAAAAAAGAAGGTGGTTCTGAATGTGAATTGAAATAGTTTTCTATATTCACTTACATTTCTGTTCTGATGCATTTACTGATGACTATCCTTGTTCTGAGTCAGAGTTGATTCTGTGTGATTAACAGGCAGTCAATTTGGTTTGAATTGAGGTGTAGGCAGAGTACTGACATAAGCTTTGGACCCAGAAATGTGCATTCTCATGGCCTTGTGACAAATCATCTATTTGTGCACAAAAATAAACCACACAAAATTATTTTCTAAGAATTTTCAAACTTTCCTGAGTTTCACCTTTTCCTCTTCTCTGCTAATCAATGCTATTTTTCTTGTTGCAAAGTATACAAATAGAGTTACATTCTCAGTAAGTAGCTAGAGTCAGGGGGTTTTATTTTTTCATTGCTGTTTTGTCATCAGGGGACTGCAGGGAGTCATGGTCACTGTCTTTTCAGTCTTCTTAACCTCTCCTCTTCTGGGGAGGAGCAAGTAAGCAAGCCAGTATCAGGATTTCTTTTTAAGGGAAGGGCCTTAGTTGAAGCGAAGAGGATTTATTTACACTGAGACTGATACAGGCCCTTTTCCGTGTTTTCATTAATTTAAACAAACTCTGAGCTGGGAGGAACAGGGCATGTGCCTCTCATATTCCTGCACAGGGACTGTAAGGATAGAAATGTGCAGAGTTCACAGCACTGAGAGGGACAGTGCTTCACAAGACAGTGGGATTTTTCTGAAAAGGGAGGAATGAGCTGAGAAAATAAATAAGACTGCAGGGAAGGATCAGGCTACTGCCACAGAAAAAACTTTCCCCTTTGTCAGATCTGTGGGTGCAAGTAAACAAAACCAAAATCCTTAGCCAAGTTGGAAGACACCTTGTGACCCTTCACTTTCACAAGCCTCTGCACAGTCTTCTGCATGGTTTGACTTACTTTGGGGATGGTGATCAGAGGGAGTAGACAGCTGAGATAAAATTTAGTTTCCTCATTTATTACTTGTTAAACTTTTTGTTGGTTAGGTAATAGCACCGTTGTGAAGACAGAAGGGTCTTGTGGCCAGCAGGGAGACTGCTAAACTAGGTTAATAGGTCTCTTCTGATCAGTCTTCCTTGTCCTTCTGTCCTTTTCACTGATTTTTTTTTTTTTTT